AAAAAACCCCTCCTCCCCAAAGCGTCGGCTGTCACCAGTGCAGCAGCACCCGCAACCCCCAGCCTGCTCCTCGTCCTCCGCTGGACAGGGAGAAACAGCAGGGTTTCCCGAGAAGGGGTTCGTACTTTAAGCCTTTTCAGCATCAGCTTTAAATCATAATCCTTCCATGGAGTTACAGCAAATGCTAGTGTGGAATGCTGCAACAGTCCAATCCCTTTCGCCCAAATTAATAAGGCGATAAAGAGAATAGATTTGAGAAAGTGAGCTGCAGCGTCCAGCTCCATCACTCACCCTGCAGGTGCCCAGGGAGCGATCTCGAATCCATGGGTGGCTTCTGCCTGCTTGTAAATCCTGTGTGTGAGTTGTTTCAAAGATTAAGTCCAAACTGCTCCAGAGCTCCAAAAGTTTCCAAGTCCACGGTCCCTGTTTGGGCGCCAGAAGTTGGGAAGGAGCTCCGGTGAGAAGAGACTCACTCCAGGGGGTCCGCCGTAAAATGCTTTTATTGCAAAGTTTTACAGCCTTTTCTAGTAGACGGGCAACAGCCCCCCAAATCCCATAGGTTCACAAGCCTGTTCATATGCCTAAGTCAAGCTATTGATTGGCAAAAGCCACTGTCCGTGCACTCTGTCAGCCCTGGCATAGCTCAGAGTTGTTTTGAGAAAGTTTGTCAGTGTTTACATACTTGTCTGGGCAAGCAGCCAACAGAGTCCACTAACTATAAACATTTGCTATTTGAGAGATACTTTTGTGAATTTTCTCAGGCTTACAAAAAACATTATTGCCTATGCTGATTGTCCATACTTAGCAAAATACATCACCCCACTTTACAAGTCACGATTCCACAAACTACTACAAACATACAGATTTCACCTCATGGACTGCATTTTCCTGATTTCTTAACATCAGAAACAGAAACATTTCTGTTCAGAAACACTGACTTCTTTTGGCTCACTTTTTCTCAATAATCTTGATTTTAGCATTAGTACTGCCAGTTATCAGGCTACCTTCCTGCTGTCCATTAGTCATCTGAACTTCCTATTTATTTTTTTTGAACAATCATAGTTTCTTTCTACGTGTGAATTTATACCTAATATGATTAAGGACTGTAGAAAATGTAATTTGGTTTATAAATATCTGTCCCTTAATTTTTGTTCAGTCTGCTCAGTGTTCCCTGCTGTCTTTGGCAAAAGTTGTTAACTATTCCCAGAGCTACACTGACACTGTCAATGGTGCTTGCACAAGACACCAACAAGGAAATAAAACTAACATGATTCTCCCTGTGCTTTAATTCGGCTGGAAATCAAGGAGATAGTAGCAGGGTGGAAAATCAATGAACGCCAGATGGAATAAGACAATGTGGCTCAGGGGGGAAATATTTTGCAGTTTAATTGTAGCATTAGGATTGAAGAGATTAAAACTGTTAGGTATTGAAGAACCGAAAATCAGTGGGAGTTAAGGGCAATCAGCACCTTCCTGAGCTATTCACCATCTCTTAAAATCAGACCACAAAACAGCTGATGCTTTAGCCTGATCTATCATGCTCCAGAAAAAGGCAGCTCTACCAATACTGCATCGTGTAGAGCAGTAATTATACTTGCACCCTTAACACTTGCTAAAGCAATCATTTATTTTACAGAGAAGTACACTACTAATGCCTTACAGTTCTCAGTAGCATATGCTGAATTTTACTCTTCTTGCTTCCTATGATATTTTCATTTCAGAAATGCGTAGTTTTTCTTTAATCTTTATGATGGTCAGTAATTCTAGGATCCCCCTTTACCAGAGAAAAAGCTAGACACAAGACAGCCGACATAAATCTAGAAGGTAATTCCATACACATATTTAGAAAAATCATTCAACTTATCCTTTTCCAATCAAGCAGTACACAATACTCATTACTTTTATGAGTTTTTACTTTTCAAGTTGTTCAAAACTAAATTACGATGTTTTAAACTACAACAAAACTGAGACCAATTCAGACAGCCCTGAGTTTACAGTTGCTCTTTCAGACACATCTGTGCTTCTACAGGCTCTGTAAAGATTCTTTTTATCTGTCTTATCATTAAATATCGTTTAAAGATGGAAAACCATGATTATATAAAAGTGTTTGTGGAGGATTTTGGTTGGGATTTTCTTTGTTTTAATGAGGACTTCAAAATCATCCCAAATTTGTTTGAGCTCACAGTTAGATTTCCCCAGCTTCTCCCCATTAAATTGCTTAGACATCCTTCTGCAAGTGATAGAGGAGCCAAAGAGGAGGGGTGCTATGCTAGACCTTCTCGCCTGCCAGGAGGGGTTGGTGGGGAATGTGAAGCTCAAAGGCAGCCTTGGCTTCAGTGACCACGAAATGCTGGATCCTTAGGGCAGCGAGGAGGGTGCACAGCAAGCTCACTGCCCTAGACTGCAGGGGAGCAGATACGGGAGAGCAAACTCTTCAGGGGTCTGCTTGGTAGAGTACTATGAGATAAAGCTCTGGAGGGAAGAGGGGCCTAAAGCCCCTCACAGAAAGCCGGTTAGTATTCAAGGATCACTTCCTCCAAGCTCAGGTGTCATTCATCTCAACAAAGAGGAAGTCAGACAAAAACATCAGGAGGCCTGCGTGGATGAACGAGGTGCCACTGGACAAAAATATATAAAAACGAACCCTATGGTGGTGTCCTAGTTTGGCTGGGAGAGGGTTGGTTCTTACCTGGAGCCAGGGGTCACTCGCTGCCGTGCTGACGCTGTGCCTGGGCAGCAGGGCTGGGGCCAGGGGGTGCAGCTGCAGTCACCGTCTGGAGCCCGAGCGGTGACCTCTGTTCTTATACCCTCTGTTATATACTGTTATGCCCGCTGTTACTGCTGTTTGCTGTGCTTTCTGTACTGTTGTGTTAAATTCTCCTTGTCTCAGCCCACGGGGTTTGCATTCTTCTCCCTTTTCTCCCTCCCATGCAGGGGGTGGGGGGCGAGTGAGAGGCCCTGTGGTGCCCGGCTCCTGCCTGGGGCTGAACCACCATGGGAGGGTAGACGCGAGGACAAGGAGCCTGGGAGAAATACACAGGAATTGTCCAAGCAGCCAGGGATCAGGTTAGGAAAGCCAAGGCCCTATTAGAATCAAATCAGTCCAAGGAAGCTAAGGGCAACCAGAAAAGCTTCTACAGGTATGTCAATGGTAAAAGGAAGACTGGGGTTATGTGCTCTCTGGAAAGAAACAGGGTACCTGGTTCTTCAGAACATGGAGAATGCTGAGGTAGTTAATGAATTTTTTGCCTCAGTCTTCATTGGAAAGTGCTCCAGCCACACTGCCCGTCACATAAGGCAAAAGCAGAGACTCGGAGAATTAACAACTATCCACTGTAAGAGGAGAGAAGGTTCAAGACCATCTAAGGAACCTGAGGGTGCAGAAATTCATGGGACCTGAGGAGATGAATCTGCAGGTCCTGAGAAATTTGGCAGATGAAGCAGCTAAGCCACTACCTGTAGTATTTGAGAAGTCACATTGGTCTGGTGAAGTGCACAGTGACAGGAAAATGGAAAACATAACCTTCATTTTTTAAAATGGAAAAAAGGGAAGACCCAGGAAGCTACAGGCCAGTCAGTGTCACCTGTGCCCAGCAAGATCATGGAGCAAATCCTCCTGGAAACTACACTAGGGCATTCTTCTGCTGACCACTTGCCCAATATAGAATGATATCATCATTAACAGGAAGACCAGCAGCCAAACTCCTCCCTCTGCTCTTAAATCACACACCAGAGATCCAAAGTGCCACACCATCAGAAAAAGAATAAGCTAATACACTCACTCACTGCACAGGATGTGAAGAAGGGAGCAAGCTGGCCAAGGATTTAAGCCATGGGAGATGGAATTAGCCAGGCCACGAGTCCAATTATGTAGTAAGGACTCATCTGTCTCTCCTCCATCCTGGGAGCTTTCCTTGCCATATTCAGTCAAGAAGCCTTTCTGACAACCAGAATTCCCACACAGTATGTACACTGTGTAAACAAACCTCCCAAGCCCTCTCTGAGCAGAGTCAGCTCTAATAGAGGTGGCTTCTTGCCCCTCCTCCAAGTTAATGTGGAAGGTGGGGGCACCTGCTGGTGATCTCCTCATCAGTTCCCACCCAAGGCTGGCCAGACTCTGGGTGCAAGTCAATCAGGAGGATCTTTCTTGCCTGGTTGTGGACATCTTTCATATGCCAACCCTCATTCAGGGCTGGAGGTTTAAACCCCAGCACTTCAGGCACATGGAAAATAAGGTTTGAAAGTCAACATCTTAACTGGCTATTTTACAAGGGATTTTCCCATAGATTAAAGAAAAGGGAAGTATGAAATACGAAGTAAATGTGCTGTATAAAACAATGACAACAGTCCATGCACACAGACACAAAAGTGATTTTAATCTGTTAATGTAACCACCTCTCAAATTGCGGGCAGTTCACACATTCCATATCAACAAAAAGATAGAAAATATTTTCATTAGCTTGATGTGCATAGTTTTAACACCAATGTTGAACTCTGTATGTACTATACAAAGATCATATTAAGTGCACTTCCTTGCATTGATTTAATTCTTTTGGCACAAAAGTTTTCTGTACTGCTGAAGAATCACCAGAGCAGAATGTTTAATTGCTACTATAAAACTTGAATTTGTTTATAGCAAAAATGTCATCATCAGTGTATTTTGGTTCAACTTTTAAGAGAAGCCTAATGACTAAGGATTTAAAGTGATCATGTAAATAATATGTTCACACAAATAAGAAGTAGGCATGTGAGAATGCATTATTCAGTTATATTTTAAAAAAACAAAACCAAACCATGTTCTTGGGTTTTGGAGGGGAGGGAGGTTGGAAGGTGTTGTGCTAATAATTGCTGCTGCATAATTTGAATAACTTCAGATTCATTTCCAAATGCTTTTATCTGTCAGGCTAAAATTTGGACCTAATTTATAGAAACTTATCCATGGAATGCGTGTTTTATTTTGGTTTTTTTTTGTGGGTTTTCTTTTTTTTTTTTTCCTCCATTTGTGTCACTGCAGACAGCATATCCTGGGCATGGTATTAAGTGCTTCATGGAGTCATTAAGATCCAAACTCTGCCAGAACTTTACTTCCCAAGTTCAGCTGTTACTTTAGTATTCCACAGTGATAGCCTTGGTTCTGAGATATTCATGAAGAGCTTCTTCACCTGTACAAGCACAATATTCACCAGTTAGAACTGCAGCTCAATGAGAGAATGTTGTCAGAGGCTGTAACTGTATATTAAGAACAAAAATTAAAATGCTTTAGCCAATATTTGAGTCCTTAAGAAACCATGGAAACTAATTAACCACCCCTCCCACTGAGATTTATAGAACTGGTTTGACAAGAAGAGGCCAAATCTAACAGCTGTGGAAAGAAAAAGGAGCTGGAATTTAACACGCAGCCAGCTGGGTGGGACTGAAATATCGTCAGTCTCTAGATGGCCACTGAGGGCTCATAGTTGAATTTATGAACTTTGGTTTGCCTATGTTAACTTTCTAGGTAAATAAGCTTTGTAAAAACTGGTCATCCTTTTTTCATAATACTATTACTTCTTTTGATTTCAGGAAATGTCTGATACTTGCTAGAGAGTCCAAAGGCAAAAATCTCTGTCACTAGATATTTTTTTTCTTTCACTTTTCTTTGCCATGAGGCTTGATCTGTCCAGACTTGTAAAGTTTCCTTGACAGCCTAGACTTAAAACTAGTTTTGAAAAGATTTTTATTATTGCATCCTTCTCTGTGGCTGTCAGCAATTTTTCAAGACATTTTAAGATATAGAAATATTTCCTGTGGAAGCAATATTTCAAGTTCAGAGGAGAAACCTAAATTAGCCTTTTTTTCTGGGGGAAAGGAAAGATTTAGGTCAATACCTTCACTACTTGAGGGCATTTTGTAGCCTGTACACAGCTCTGGACAAGCTGTGATTTGATTGTCCTGAGAGGAGCTGGAGAGGAATATTCTGTGTGCTGTACCATTATTTAGCAAATGTACAGGAAGGGATGAACAGGAGGCATTGAGGCAGGAATGAAGGAGGGGCACTGGGTTACTGTAATTGGAGGAATAGCTCCAAAACACAATTCATGTTTTCGTAGATACACTATTTTTTCATTGACTCCGACTGTCAGATGAGAAATGAGAGACAGAGAGAGAAATCAACTTACCTAAGTCTTTACCAAAGCCAGACTGCTTAAATCCACCAAATGGTGCTGCCACATCAGTTTTGTTATATGTGTTAATAAAAACTGTTCCAGCTTCTAGCTTTTCACTGATGTAGAGAGCTTTGCTTATGTCTTTTGTGAAAACTCCTGAAGCTAAGCCATATTCTGTGCTGTTTGCCCGTCGCAGAACTCCATCAATATCTCTACAGGGGAAAGAAATGATTTAATGGCAATTAAACAAGTGTTAGCAATCCTCCACCTTACAGGTCATTGAAGCATCTTTTCCATTCTCTTTCTTGTCCAGTTAGCTTTTCTAGAGACAACTTATTAAGGACTAATCTGTGTGTCAATCTGACAGTTGTAAAGCAATTCATACTCTAGCTTTAAACTTGCAAAGCTTGTAAACTTACATTTCAGTGGTTAAAATCTCCACTGAGAAATGTGAAAGGAAAAGCTGCAAAATGCACATCATCTCTCCTCAGCTATAGTACAACTTTGGGATTAGAGCAAAAAATACACACAAAAAAAAAAACTTTTTTTTTTTTTTTTTTTGTATTTTGGGCCAAAATTTTAGCAAACTGATTCATAATCTGCTGCCAAGCTCTGCTTTACAAGTTAATGGAGAATAAATGCTGAAGTTCAGACTTCTATCAAGACAATGTTTCAGGCCATGTCCAGAGTGTTATTTTCTCTTTATATCTCATCTCTGTGTAGCTTCAAAGATCCATAATAATTTAAAATTCAATACAGTTACTTATCACCACACATGATGTATAGATTTGAAGGGTTATCTATGTGTCTAGTACGTAACTCCATTAATCAAACTGCAGAAAATTAAATTTCCTAATGGAAATAGCTATGTGAAGGTTCTGCACAGGGTTTTAATCTCATCTGTGTGTAAAATAGTTTGTATTGTTTGGAATTATTAAAACTAGCAGCCCACAAAATATACAGAGGGATTTTAGTTTGCAACAGTAACATGCCAATATTACACAATGCACAACAGATGTGGTCATATGTGGCAGAGAAAAGTAAGTGATTCCACTGGCAAAACTGGCAAAACCCCAAATTTGTATGGTTTTTGATCAAGCCATTGCAATTACCACATCAGGTTTAGTAAAAAAATGTTTCACTGCATACCAAGACTTATTTGAGAACTAGCACTTAGGATTGCATTCTATCATTCTATCCTGTCACACTCTGCTAATAGCATTAATTCTCTATCAACATGGAGCAGGATATCCTAGAAAGGGTATTTTCTCAGAATTCATCTGGAAGAGGATCTGGGGATTCAGACTGGTGTCACAAGATTTAACAAAATCATACTACATATGCTATCATTTCCACACTTACGGTGAAAATGAGAAAATAAAGTTTCTAACAGTAACCTGAGGAGAACATACCCATTTTTAAATTTAGAAATCACCATCACAGGACCAAAGGACTCTTCCTGGGCAATATACATATGGTCTTCGACGTCTGTGAATACAGTGGGTTCCATGAAGAAACCTAAACAGAGGATAGAGCATCATTTAAGCATACTGAAAATGCATCATGGTTTTTATTGTCCAGGCCATCTCCATACTTTGAGGTCATTGACATGTTGGGACCTGAACAGAAAGTATCAACACTGGTATGAATGAAGTGTGAATGGAGATTCATGTGTGCAGCAGAGAAACAGCAGAAAAAAAAGGTTAAAGGAATGGCCTGTATTGATAGAGCAACAATATCTGCTGTTCCCTGCCAGGCCAGAAGATCTGCATGCCACAGCCCCGGTGACTGACTCTTCAGGGGGAGACCCTGTACTCTGACAGCAGGAAGACAAGGTTACAGCATGTCACAGGGGATACTCTTTTCCTTGTTACCCAACAAGATGATAGACCATAGCCATAAAGATCTGTATATTCCAAACAAGGAAAAACATGTGATGGGCAGCAACTTTGTCTAAGATTTATGGATGCTAAAGTACAGAAAATTCTGAGGCAAAGGACTGCCTCATAATGACTTCATTTCTGAAGGTTGTAAAGCCCTGTCCAAAAGCCAGCTTATCACTGCCAATCAAGAACTGTCCTGATGTTACACAAGTGATCCTACACCTTGGTGACTGAGTGTATTCCAGTCTGAGTGGGTAAAATCACTGTAAAAGATTCTATATAAATGCTGCCCCCTTCCATAAGATTTCCCATTCAGTTTTGTTACACTGATTTCATATAGTTACAACTCTACACTTTTATTCTCCACTAAATAATCTCAATTACTTAGGGATGCAATCACTACGTTTTGAAACTCTAATGCAAATGTTTCTCTTTCGTTATTAATAAAGGACAGATGGTCATGAGAAAATACTGCTTTCATGGCTGCCCACTCAACTTAGCATACGTATTGTCTATATAGCAAAAGAGGCTTTTGATAATAATACCTTATGCAAACTCTGGTGGTAGTTTATTCAGTCAGCTTTTAGTGTTAGTGTAATCTAAATTGATATAATTATACTTACAGGTCTTGACAGTTCAAGGATGTTGCAAAAAAAAGGCCTCAGTGCCTCACAAAGCACAGGAATAAGTGAGCAAGAGATTCCCATGCAGACTAGGTTCTGATTCAACTTCATATGTTACGCTTCAATTGCACAACTTCTCTTAATAGGACTTAAAAGCTCTCTTCTCAGGTGGGCTTACCTGGTACCATTCCCATGATATTGCTCCTTCACATAATACAGCAGAGACAATCATGATGACTTTTATTTAAAGCGTAACAGTTCCAAACACCTCTGAACAGTATTTTACCTGGTCTACGTACTTGTCTGCCTCCATACACTAGAGTGGCTCCTTCTTTTACTCCAGTTTCACAATATTGAAGCAGCTTTTCCAAATGTGCCTTGTGATTTTGTGGACCATGATCTGTAGATCTATCAAGTGGGTCACCAATTTTCATCTTTTTTATTTCTTCCACCTATGGGTTACCAATTAAAATGAAGTTACATAATGTAGGAAATAGCTGTTAAAATGACCTCTGATTTGGGATGATTCATGTTTTGTGCTATGAAGTTGGGCTGTAAGAAAGGGCTGGATTTCTAAAATGAGGCTTTGTCTTGTTTCATTATCTCTGGTTACTTCTGAAAGTTTTTTTTATGCTATTTTCATGTATTGATTCTCTTACGCTATTAAGATAGGCATGTAAAATGTTAGCTTTTACCAGTGGTAAATGAGCTATGACAATGATTTCCTTCTCTTGATCTAACTAAATGAATTCTCTGGTGGTACAGTGTGGTGACTATTGGATTTTTAATAATGACCTTCGTATTATTCTAGCTACATTTCCAACATGCCTTTTTTTAAACTTCATAGCAGATTTCAATCACATTGACCTAAGTTCAGTAATTTTTAAAATTTTACCTTCCTAGTTAAATATGAAATATCACTGAAGGTACAATATCTACTTTAATCTCACTTATCTGTGCATTACTAATGATAACATCTCTCTTTGGTGCCTTCCTTTTAACCCTGTAGGAGCTTCCCAAGAAGCACCATTCCCTATCATAAGCAATAATGAGAAATTAAACAGCTGAAAATAAGAAGAAATGCAAGTGTTTATAAAGCTAGTGTATCATTGTGCCATAAATAATCTTAAACTTTAGTCCTTGAATGCCTTACCACTTTTGTAACAAATTCATCGTGGATTGATTCTTCCACAAACAGCCTGCCAGCTGCAATGCAGTTTTCTCCTTTGTTGAAGTATACTGCTCCCATACCCTGAAAAAAAAAACCCAAAACATTAATATTTATATGCATCCTTTTGTCTAAGCATATTATGGGTAGTTAGGAAGGTGGACTATGATGACTGATGTTCATTAGGAAGAACTATATGGCAATAGGGAGCTCAATGCATAGTTTAACTTACTTTTCAGACTTTTGTTTGCTAAGTGCTTTTTTTTTTAATGAGTATCAGATTTTAACAGATCAATTTTAAGCTGTTAATTTGGCTAGTGAAAATACTTACCACCTATATTTTTTTAAATTTTTTTTTTATTTTATTTTCTAATGTGTATTTCTTACAGCACTGATCCCTGCCTTTTTGGTGCAGCATGAACAGTTTAATAGTGCTGGTGTAAAGAAACATTCTGTAGAAAAAGAGTCTGTTTTCTAACAGATTGCATCATTTTTCATGCAAGGGCTCCCTACTGCAGTTTTTGGCAAGCCAGGAAGAATATTGAAGTACTGTGAGGATGTATCACAACGGCTTTGGATATATTTTACTTCTAAGTAACATTACCATTTTTACAGCTTTGTCAAGTTCACAGTCACTGAATATGATCAATGGTGATTTACCACCAAGTTCAAGAGAAACTTTCTTCAGATTAGTGGCCGCACTGTAAAAAACACAAATAATCATATAAACCAAACTTTTAAACAGGTAATTTCATCGTTTCATATTAATATGTGAATCATATTGTGAAAATGTATAAACCTCTATTTCCTAAATAGCGACTTAGTAGAATTCTACATAAATGTAAACAAACATAGCTAGTTATGCTTTTCTATTACTGCTACATGCACAATACAGCTAATCAGATATATCAGAACCAGATGAAGCAGTGTTTATTTCTGAATCTTTTGCTGAGAGTACCTCTTCATGATCTGTTTACCAGTTGGTGTCGAACCAGTGAATCCAACTTTGCGAACATCTGGATGTTCAGACAGGTGCTGCCCCACTAAGCCACCTACCAGGGTGAGGAAAACAATTTAACTGGATGGTACACTGGAAATTTTTACTACTCCAGCAGAAGCGCTGTAATACAGAATGAGCTAAAAATGCGTCAATCAAGTACAATGTAACATCTTTATTTATATTTACAGCTTTTTTTCATATGACTGTGAAAAACCTCATATTAGTTAATTTGGACCACATTAGTGTCTCTGAATTCCCCTTCTGCCTGGACTAAAGAACTGCCTTCCTAATACTCTACTGTAAGTGGAATAATCTAATTTGTAACAGACCCTGCCCCGTACGCTCACTGTGTCACTTTTCTTCCTTAGAGAAAAGAGGAAAAGGGTCACATCAAGTAACATGGTGTGGACCATGCCCCACTTATAGTGACCAATATGCACCTTACCAGCTTGCTCTAGGTCTCACAGTCACATTTAAATACTTCCAAGTGACGATAAGGTTAAGAGAAAAAATGAAGCCTTACAATCAAGTGAAATGTGTTTCTCTAATACGTTATTTTCTGGAGTATTTGTGTGAACTTGGAAAGGATGTAGGCTGGCAGCTCTTATCACTAGCTAGAACCAAGTGACACACAGATTTTTCCAATTCTGTTCTGGAAATATGTGCATGACATAGATGCAAGCCTACTATCTATGAAAATATATGCACTTGGTCTTCAAAAAGGTAAAATGCTAGTTCACCAGCTTTAGCATGTCCTACTCTTCCCAGAAAAATGATTCGCTGAAGTTTTACCTGAACCAGGCAGAATATTTATAACGCCTTTAGGAAATCCAGCTTTAGCTGAGAGTTCTGCAAACTTCAAGGAAGTCAGAGGTGTGACCTAAGTAGAAACATTTAGATTAGGTCTCCTATTTTAATTATGATGATATCTTTTTTTATTCAATATATGTTTATTTTGATACAATATTCAACTTCTTACAGTATTAACAAATTAAAAGTGATGGCTTCTTGCAGAACAGAATTAATTCTTAAAAATGAGAGTAGCATCAGAAAGCATTGAAGACAATCAGTACCTTGTATCATCACAGCAATATTATACATGCACTTTAAAACATATGGCATGGTCAACCTGTGGGTGAAATCTGCTAGACTGCCTGGATTAGTTTGTCTGAATAAATTGTGGAGGACCTGAGCCTTCTGTACATTCCTTTCTGATTTTACCTGTGCTGGCTTGAGTACGAGTGTGTTGCCTGCAGCCAAGCATGCTGCGCTCTTCCATGCAAGCATCATCAGTGGGTAATTCCAGGGGATAACAATTGCACAGACACTTAAGGTAGGGAAAAACAGGGAAAGATTACATTTTTTATGGCAGCTTCTGAATGTTTTTTCTGTATGTCAAGACTACCACTAAGAAGAAGAAAGTGATACTCACCCTATTGGTTCTTTCTTAGTGAATGTTAGATTATGGTTTGGCCGAGCCTGGTTAATTGGAATTGTAGCACCCTAAAAGACAGAGAAGGGACAAATCTTGCTACTGTGTAATAATTTTTATTACAAATATATTTGCCATATAAGTACGTTTTGGAATGCCAGGTAGTAGGCTTCAAAACCAGAAGCATTTTTGCAGCAGAGAAAGGGGCATGGATGCTTCTTGCTATGTATACCACAGTCAGCTCCTGATTTTCAGCTGGATGAATTAAAAGCATAGATAACAAAAGCATAGAAGAACATAAAGTGAGGTCTGAATGATGAAAACAGCTGAATTATATTCTTGCTTGTGGATCTTAAGATGCTTGAGGAACTGCTATTGAAACTGTGCCACTTGCTGTGCCATCAAGCAAACTCACCAGCCTTGGTCACACAGCACATGAGTCTCTGCACTTACCCACATGATGAACAACCACAATGACATTCTGCTGCACGAATAATCAAGAGCTGACTAAGGATACATATCCACTGTGACACCTCAACCGATTTCTTAGGTATTTAGAGTCACATTCTAAATTCATATTCTCCAATTGAAAGCAGATTGTCCTTTTATATTGTCAAGGAAACCCATTTTCGGTAAAATTCTAATTTTGCTTTATTTTTTGATTCCCTGATTATTTTTGCTAACTGCTTTTTAGTGCCATGCCAGAAAAAAAAATAAGGGGGGGGGAAGGTAAGGAAGTACTGCCATTGATTATTTCCTTCACACATTCACTTGCCTGAATTTTGTCACACCATCCAGCGAAGTATCTGAATGTTTGCACAGACATTCCAACATGGGTCTTCAAAGCCAAAGTGTAGACAGCCCCTGAGTCGAGAGACTCTATTGTTGCTAACTCTTCTTGATGTTCTTCCATGAGGTCTGCAAGTCTTTAATAAAAACATTACAAATCCACATCAAAGAGAAGTGACATCTAACCATTGACAGCCTAAAATGGTATTTGGCGTGTCAAAGAACAGAAGAAAGGTCCTTTTGCATGAAAGAATTTTTACATTCAGGTCTTAGATGTCTCACATGGCAGTGAAACAGATCCATCAATGTTTTTCTTAAGCTTCTGTTTGTGTTTTGGTACTCAGACATATAATCAATACTTCCAAGGGCATTTCAGATCCTGTAAAGAGCTTAACCAAGTGTATTTTATATCATGTAAATAGTACACAAAACTGGGTGTGGAACCTATTTTTTCCATTACGTAAATTTTACCCACTTAAAACATTTGCAGAGATGTGGAAAAATACTTCAGTACTTGTTTTAACTGTATCTTGGAGCACCGGCTACAGGTCAGTGCATGTGTAAAAGAATGGATATGGCATGTCAGGGACAAAGGAGAGAGTTTCATTTAATGTGTGCCTAATGCCTAATGTCTTCTATTAATGACTCCTTAAGAGAAAGCAGCAGAGCTAGGGGCTTTGATGGTACAAACCTTCCCTCTGGTTCCGCACTCAAAATCTCCAGTTTGCACTGAGACCAGAGAAAAAGGAGCTTTGTTTGAATTCAGGTGGAGCAGAGAGAGCCTTCATCCATACTGGGGATGGTTTGCAACATGAAGACTGTGGTATAGGTATCCTAGAGAGACAATAGCCTCAGCAAAGAGTTTAATCCAGGAATAATCTATGCCTGTAGGGGAGTTACGTTTTCCATATGCCTTGACATAGTTACACTTGCAAATCTTTGAAGTGTAAAACACGGAACAGTAATCCTAAAACCTCAACAATGTCTCTTCAGAGCAGAGTTAACTTGGGCTTTCAAGTGCTCTGTGTTCCTGATTAAACCAAAGTTTGAACGTGCTTGGAATCCGTGCACACTTGTGAAAAACTTAAGTTATTGACTGTATTTAATTTTAATATGAATTCTAACTCTCCCATTTTCTCTTGTGATGATAACTCAACTTTTTACAGTTCTGCAGGCCTTTTTCAAAGGTCTAGTCACATACTGTATGAGAAGAATTTTCAGGTTTGCTTTCATTCTCTTTTGCTAAGATGCCTGCAATGTCTTATAAAACATGGCATTTTTAAATACTTTTTTATTTCTAATGACATCTACTGGGTCCATATTGATATGGCAAGAGAGGGGAGGAGAATTTATATCCAAGGCATTCAATGAAGTAAGTATTACGGCTATATTAATGTGATTACAAAATATCTGCTGCATACAGTACAGCAGACACAGACCCATGTTTCTCAACTGTAACATTACATTTTCCCATGCATGTTCCTCTTTCTTAGCTGCCAATGTACAGATGTGCAACAGATTCCCTACTCTTTACTGTCTAGCTAGGCTAAGCCCAGCCTTATGAAGACAGAAGCATCTTCTAGTTGCATATTCCAAAACTCTGAATCACCTGCATCTTCAGTTTCCAAATCCTCACAGAAGTTATGCAGAGAACAGTATGCAACAACAAAAGGAAGGGAAGTGACCCACCCAACAAAAACCATATAGATTGAATGAAGCCATCAGGCATTTAAAGGATGTTTTCCTCAAATTCTTTCTTTCCATTTATAAATTTTAAGAAAAAATAACTGGTAGCAGTGAGAGATCATAAGATTTTTCTCTGCCACAAGGAATGTTAGGCAGCTAAGACCCAAGGCCTGCACATAGAAGTAAACAAGGAGATGAAAAGATGGCTAGTCTGGTTCCTCTGGCAGTGGGATTATTAATCTCCATCATATTCAGAAAACATATGCAACAGTTCTTCAGAGGAGCAAAACAATAAGGTTTCAGAAAATGAAACAATCATAAGCTGCCTTTCACATACCTGTACATGAGCAGCCCTATTTCCCTTGCATTCATTCTTCCCCATTCACCATTTTCAAAGGCCTCCTTTGCTGCTGCCACTGCCTTGTCAACATCAGCCAACGAAGCAGAAGATACACTGGCTATTACCTGTCCAAAGGTAGCATTGTGTCAGCCCAAACTGAAATGCTAGGATGCAGAGTGTAACTCCTTCCACCTAAACTTCTTGAGTGGTTATAAGCAAGTACTTGATATCCTCAACACCAGCAGCTGGCATGGCTGAGCCAGGCTGCAAAAAAGGTCAGAATCAGCTGAGGTGGCAGAATCTGGAGGACACTGCAGGGACTCTGCTTCCTAGATCTGTTGTCTTCTTCACATCAAGGTGCATCATCCTACTTGATTTCACTCCCTCTTTCCAGATGTAAAATCAATGCAATATTAGAAAAGTCAGGAGTCTTTATACGTGCTATTAGGATCTAACTTCCAAACATGCTAAAATGACTCCTGTATGCTCCATTTCTTGGGAATGGAGCTTCAGTTACCATAAGGCACCATATACACATAGAAGTTTATGAAGATTGTGTACTAATTTTTATTACTGGGAATTTAAAGGGACATTTAAAAGTTACACTTGCCCTAGGACATCAGATTTATAAAATAAAAGTAAAATAAAACCCAAAGTTGATAACTGACAGGAAATATGTGCAACATACTAAAAGATATACTTATTTAGCAACCAAACTACAGTAATTTTTGTTTGCAAAGATAAGAAAAAATGAAATCAAGGTAAAACATAAGGCTGGCTATGGGAATTGACATAATAGTGCCATAATAGTGGAAGCAGGCTATTTTTACTGTCTAGCTTGACTGAAATCTAAAAACTGTAAAATGCACAGACTGAGAAGCAAACAGAAATTTCAAATTATTTCTAGGGATTGTTTAATGTGCACTGTACAGTTTTGAAACTGTATTCAGTTAGTGTTTCAGATTTTTTTAATAGGCAAAGAAATTGAGATAAACTGGTATTGATCATATTTAGAAATTACTCACTGATCCATCTGCTGGATTTATAGTGTCATATGTTTTTCCATCATCAGCATTTACAAATTGCCCATTTATGAAACACTGGTATGGCATATTAACAGTCATGTTGTTCACATTTTTTGAAACCTAAGAGTGAAATAAACAGCAAATTAATTTAAGCTTCTAAGAACTAAAATTTTAATGTAGCTTAACAAGCTTTTGATATCTATAGCAAACATCCAGCCACATTTTACAACGTATATGAGGCTGCTAAAAGTGGACAAAAGAGTAAAACAAAATGGAAATCATATTCTCCATCAACACCAGTGACCACACTCTGAGATAGTTAAGCAGATTTCTTTATTTTTTATCATTGGATCTCTATGTTCAAACCAATACTAAGCCAAATACTAGATTGGTCATAGTGGACTTCAATCAAATGCATACTTCCCAAATTCAAGAAAACTTGACTTGCTTAGTGACTTAAGTATGCAATCATTCTTTCACACAAACTTTTCAAAAAGGCTTTTAAGAGAAAAATCTAACACTGTTTGTGTTGCAGTGCGCCTCCTGGAGACAGAGGTTTCTGTTGCCTCTTTGTCCCCAAACATGGGCACACATCCAGAATTTTCCATCTTTCCCAGGTTGTGGTTGGCTTAGCCACCACAAGACCAATCCCCTAACACCTATTGGACCCCTGACCCATAGGTAACCCATCTGTGTATCCTTACAGGACAATGCCTTTGTAAACCCACCTACCTACCTGTTAAAAACCCCTGGCCCCAAGGCCACATGCTCTTTCGCTTCTCCCCCTGGGGTGGGTGCTGTTTCAGTGCCTGCCTCAGGTGTTTTTTGTTTGTTATTTTCATGTTATTAAAACCTTTTATTTTGGAAAAAAGCGATCGTTGCCCATCCCTCCTTTAACCGCCACTGTCCCCCTCTTCACTGAAGACCACCCTGGAGGTACTACTGGGGTCCCGCTGGGGGTGTTTTCTTCCCAGGCAAAACCAGCGGGTTTGAAACCCTCTAAATATATTTTTGAAAAGTAATATGTTTGCCTCAGGAAAGTAGAAGGTCTAGAACCATTCTGACTGAAGCATATTGGCAGGTGAGTACAAGGGGGTTAGGAATATCTGCCCATTTGTGATCTACTCCACCAAATGTTCTTGAGCTCCTGGCTTCCGGTACGCTGAAAGTGATGTTACATGTTTTGGCTTCCATGCTAAAACACACACATATATATAAAAGCTGCAAAGTAGAAGTCACAAAGGTGAATTTGTATGACCAAGTGTTTGCTTTTCCCACTGCATCAAGCAGTCTAATAAAATGCATTGCTTACCCTCCCCTAAAAGACAAGAAAGAATAAGCAATAAAAGCAAAATAAAAAGTCTTACATAATCAATGACTAACTCTTCTTCTTTGTCTTCTCCTCTGAATTTCCTGACAGCCATTTGAATAAAGTCTGCAAACTTAGTAGCCATATATACATCTTCATTCTGTAGATGAAGTTCACTATATTTCTGTTTGATCTCTTCTAACATTCTAAAGATTTTGAAGAAAGAGTAAGGTTGACTACAAATGAAAGAGTTATTCAATAATGAATCATTAGAAGGTTGAAAGGGGTCAAAACTGGGCACCAGTTTGTATTGTGCATGTGAATATGTGTGTGTCTTTCTCTGACAAGAGTGGCACAGAAGCATTTTACTGAAATTATTTGTTTACTTGGGGGTGTTATGGAAAAGAAAATGTAAGTTCCAGAATACTTTCAGGTAAACTTTTGGAAATAAATTACGAATAACATACATTGATTGATAAAACAGCATATGGTCTACTCTAAACAATCCATGGAAGACATTCAGAGGTCTATGAGTCTTGTAAGTAGTAAGGTGTCCTAGTTTGGGTTTGATACTAGTTTTGTATTTACTTGTCCATATTCCATTTTATTATTAGTTTTACTATTATTATTAGAAGTATTACAGCTGTTTTCTTTTCTTCTGTAATTGACAAGTGTCTCTCCCTTATCCCTTTCTCTTTCCC